TTCTCTCTCTCTCTCTCTCTCTCTCTCTCTCTCTCTCTCAAATAAATAAATAAATAAATAAATAAATAAATAAAAGCTGCTGATAGGTGTGAGATAAGGGTAACATATGTAAATTTAGAATTACTTCAGAAAATCTATGATGTTTTCTAGGCCAATTATACATAAAAATATCTTATCTACTCACTCAAAACATTGTATGTTTACTAAAATCTTACCTGGCCAGGCACTCAGCTATGGCAAGGACTACGGAGGGGAGGACATGGATCCTGGTCTCAGAACACAGGAAGACACCAGCAATTTTAATATTCAGTATTCCTTATGAGTGAAGGTATATGCAGGGTCTGTGGAACACCCAGAAGGAGAAGAGTATGGAAGTTGCCCATCAAAGGTGAGAAATGACCTTCAGGGCACAGAGAGGACAGACCTAGATGGGAAAGCAAAGCAACCGCAGGGAAGATAAGGAGCAACATGGCAGGAAGCACAAGGCAGCAGGTGGGAACTATGAAGAGTATTAGTACTCAGGGATCTGACCCCGCATAGGAGGAAGTGCAGAAGAACAGGTGACACACACTAAGGATCTGAACTGAAGCCATGAAGACCTCGAGAAAGGAACAAATGGCAGGTGCTTCTTTTCAGGCTGAAGAGGGCGACCAGGCTTACTCTATTGCTACTATTTCCTTGGACTAACTGACTTTTGGATTACTGACCAGATGAGTCATCGTAGCTTGCCTTGATTTCTGAAGCCTGCTTAGCTCTACTACAATGCTGACAGCCTGGCCTTTGGGTCCATGCAGACCACCACCAACACAATTTCCTTAGGCTCTTTTAACTTCCTGGTATACAGATGGTTCAGTTTGGGGAATGAAATACTTCATTTTAGGGACTTTCTAGCTTGCATTTCTGCCTGGATCTCTAAGTTCTGAGTCTGTCTCTTAAAATTTTACATGATATGGGTTAATTTGTTCTTTTTGCAATTTTCTGTTATATCTACTTACTATCTGCTTTATAAGTCATGGCCTCTAAAATAACCTTATTTTTACTGTATGCTTATGATATGTTTGAAGATAAAAAGGATAAATTACAAACCACAGCAAAAAAGCACTAATTAAAAGACTTCTTTGAAAAAGGTAGATGCTTGTCACCATCTACAAATGAAATATTAGCTTTCCACCTACGAAATTAAAAAAAAAAAACAAGTTTTTATAGTCTGCATCATTATCTAATACTACAGACTTAATGGAAATAATTTGGCTTTTTCTTTTCTATGTATAATTTGACTTATTCTTTTTCATAGATACAGGGTCTCGCTATGCAGCTCAGACTTGTAGTGATCCTGTTTCAGCCCCCCCACTGCTGGCATTACAGGTATGTGCCACCATGCCAAGACTCAGTGGCTCGCTCAGGGTGCCAGGGGGTGGGGCTGGTGCGGCATGTGGTGACAGGGATCAAATAACTTTTTCTTATGATTATTAATAAAAGGTAAGTTTTTGTTTTCAGTAGCTGAAATCAATCACAGTCCAATGCCATATTTTATCTTAGTGCAAATTGATATTCATAATATCTTTCACAGTATAAATAAGTTCAAGAAATAAAAAAAACACTAAAATAATTTCTAATCATGTTAACACAATCCAAGCACATATAAAAACTGTGTGTGATGTTACTACCTACTATACCAGTTTACCTTATGTATACCAATGTTTCTCCAACTTTAGTGCATCTAAATTACCTGGAGGACCTGAGTTGCTGATGCAGTTGGTTTGGGGTAAGACACGTGAATAAGGATTTCTACCAACTTCCCAGGTGCTGCTGTGAAAGCATATTTAGAGGACCACAGCTGTACACCAACCTGGGGCATGAATGGAGAGTGGAAATGGTATCCCAACTGTGGTTTATTGCCATCTTAAAATCTTCTCTAAATTAGATATTCCAATTCTAGTCAGACAGTTTAGGAAGTTAAGAGTTGATCATTGGAAAGAATCCAAATCCCAATCTCTTTAGAGGAGAGAAAATAAGAAACACAACTGTGTTTCATGGCTATTTTAACAGAGATGCTCTGTGGGAGAGCTTAAGATGTTGCAGTTTCATTAGCATTATCCAGTGTTGCTATGGGGACCAACTGGAAAGGCATCACCGGCACACAAGTGAATGAAAGAGGAGACTTGATGAACAACAATAAGAACTTTAACATTTCTGAGAAAATAAAGCAAAGTCATACTGAGCACTTTCTGGTATTCATATAAACGTTGAAAGTATCCTTTAATCATGAGATATAGTCACATATACAGCCGTCCATCCTTAGATGATGTTTAATTTCTTTGAACATCATGAAGGAAACCAAAATCAAAATCCTTTCAAAAGGATGAGAAGGAAGAGTGGCAGAAATCATATTGTGAGATTTTTATTAATTATGGTCAAGCACGATGGCCCCCAACTGGGGGCTACACAAAAAAGACCACCTTATTTGCTCACTAGGTTATGGCTCTGCATAATATCTAGGCTGAAGCGTCCATGTAGCTATAAAAGACAGCTCTGGGGAATAAGGAAAGGAGATGTACAGGTGTCTGGATTGCTCTCAGGTTTTCAAATAATGAAATTAGGAAGAGTCAGGGAGTAAGAAATAACTATGGAAATAGATTTCAAAGAGCTGGGAAGTAAGTATTCTTAGAATTGCTTTTAATGGCATACAACTATATCATAATTTAGTTAAGGTTTAGAAGGTTCTGAAATTCTAATGTAAGCCAATTTTAGCAAAGATGACAGTCTCCATGGAAGTTTCCCAACATTTTTCACTTCAGATTTCAGGTATGTGATTTAAGAAGAAAATCGAATAGCAAAAGTCTTAACTTAATATATTTATATGACAATGAACCAAGATTTATCATAACAAATTTCTTGCTGAATCCTCAGTAATATAGCCTTCAAAATAATCCCTTTAAAAAAAAAACAAAACAACAAAATAATCCCTTTTGAAACCTTCTTTACCATAGCCTCCTCTTTGAAGACTTTAAAATCATAACCTTTCTATTCACAAGACACTATTTACTAAATAATATTATGATTTCCTGTTCAGAGGCCTGCTTTTCCTCTGGGATTTCCTCATTCGCTTCACTGTTCTACTCTAGTGGCCAGGCTAGTTCCTCAGACACACTCGTCAGGTGTTACAGAGACTCTGGGGCACTTGTTCCTTTGTTCAGTCCACTCAGAGAATTTATGAAGTCTGAGGTGGTGATATCTTTGGTATCTTTTATTGGATTTAATGGTGAGGACTTAAGCCATATTATGAACCTCCATACAAAGGCCTCACCACTCTCATCTGAGGAGTTTATTTCATAATTATTAGTCCTCAGATGAGGAAACAGAAGCAGGGAGCTATTTGATGTTTTGTCTCAGGTGCCAGGATACTGGTAGACAGCACTGCAGATTTCCAGCTTCTAAGTTTGTGGGTTCTACCCTATCAGAATTTACAAACTAGACAAAGCTATTTTTAGGTTTGTTTAAGGACACTGTGGACTTGTATATCTAATGTGCCTTTTCACCAGAGAAGAACTTTTGTTATGTTTTCTTCTTTCTCAGTGACTCAGAAAGAACCAAAGCTATACCCCAGGACACAGGAACAATATTACTATGCTATCTTTCTTTATTCATTTCCTCTTTTAAGGAAATGCTTATAGGAAGCAGTACTCTATGGTGACAAAGGCACTTTATTCTCAATACAGTGTTTCACTCACTGGCCTTGTCTTTCTGCTTTTCTATTGCAATAAACTAACATCTTGCTTCTCCAATGTAGTTGCAGTCCAATGACAATAATATATCAATGAGTCTCTCATTAGCTAGCTATGTCTTAGTGAAACATAAATAAGGGCTCTCTGCTATGCATACAGCTCAAAAAGATGCTAGTTCATACATTTATGCATCAATATATAAGTTCTATAAGCCTAAGTGGCATGAGTAAGACTGAGAAATTAGCCATATGTTCCAAACCTGTATCAATGTCACAACATTAAGTGGCCTGACTTTAAGGGCAATGGAAAAAGGCTTTCATTCCTCCAAAACCTACGTTGCTTACTGCTGACATGTAAAATCCTGTCTTCATCAATGTTACTTTGCGCTATGTACTATCTTCTGTTACAACTTCTTTAAAAATGAGAGGAGAGGGGCTGGGGAGATGGCTCAGAATAAGCGCTTCCTTGGCAAGTGCAAGGGCCTGATTTCAATCCCTGGTTCCACCAAAAAAAAAAAAAAAAAAAAAAGGGTAGGTGTTATGAGGCACTACACTTTCACTTAAAATCGCATATGACTTTTACCACATCATCTGTAAAATGAATGAAAAAATAAAGCAGTGAGTAGAATGCACTCCTTTGCCTAGCACTGAGCTGGGCACAATGGAGAAAAGAAAGATAAATTAATTTCAAGACACTTCCAAGTGCATTTTATGAGACAAAACATATACATATAAAACAAAAGTTTTAGCACTCTTGCGTTTACATTATTTGGTATATTGCTATGAGAGCAACACCTTTCAAATATTTTTTTCTTTAAGCAATGGAACTCTTTTCCAAATTGTCTCACACAAAATTCTAACATATAAATCTTATAAAAACAGACACTCTGGGTGAAGATGGAGGGGAGGCAAGGGAGCAGTCTGTGTGGCTGACTTTCACTCCAGTCTAGCTTCAGTGGCTATGAGGCTTCTGAAATTGCAGTTTCAAAAAATCATTAATTTAGCTCATAAAGAAGAGGTACATTAACAGAAGGAAAAATCCATAGTGGGTATGACTAGAGGACACTCCAAGGAGGGATTCTTCTGCAAGTTGGGATCTGTAGTCTGGCAAGACTTACATGGACGGAAGAGATGCAGAAACAAAAAATACGAAGAAAAAGCGCATTGGCAATCCCAGGGAAAGTGACAAGTAACAGCGGGCAGAGGTGTAAGCTGCCTCAAAAGTTGAGATTTGCTGAAAATAGGGAAGCACTAGGATTTTAATCTTTGGAATGGATGTGAGGACCATAGAGCTGAAGGAGGGAGGCCGAGGCATGAAGGTGCCATGGGGAACAAGACATAAGCCACCATGTCCCATGAATCCACTCTGGCTGGTGTCTCCCTCCCTCTCTCTTGTTGTTGTTGTTGTTTTTGGCGGAACCAGGGATTGAACTCTGGCCCTTGCACTTGCCAGGGAAGCACTTATTCCACTGAGCCATCTCCCGGGCTCTCCCTCCCTCCCTCTCTCTTGCACACAATCTACTGCTCCATGCAGATACCACACTCTACTTTCCCACGCGGCTCTTCTGTATGCCTTTCCCTCCTATGCACTATCCAACCTCAAGCAGAGTCCAAAAG